GTTTGAGCATAGGGGATACACTCGCCCAAACTCGACTCCTCCTTGCTGACTTGGAGAGTGACGTCTTCAAATGGAGTTAATACTTTTACCAGGCCATCTAGGATGTTCCAAAAATTGGCATGGTTTCCCAAAGAAGCTGGTAATGGCGGAAGTTCAAGCTCACGCGCTCTACGCAATAGTGCTGTTACCGCATCCTTGTTCTTAATAAATGATCTACAGCAAGTCAGCAACAAAATATAAATGATGGCATATATAGTTTACTGTTTAATTTTTAATACACTTATACAATATACAACATAGCTGTGTACCTGAACATGGCCAGATTTGAGTTCCAACGGGTCGAAACATTTTTAACAAGGCCACCGGTCTCCTCTGGCTTACCGTCCTCACCACGCGGTAGCGCATCTTTAGCAGCTCTAAAGGCTCGAGCAACTGGCATTGATTGCCTAGGTTTATTAAAACATGGTAAATTGTATTAGTTCTAATGTTCGACCGATTAGGTCCGATTTACTTTACTTATTCATCATGACTTATACATTATTATATATTATTGTTAATTACTTTGTTTTTGTAATAATTTTCTCGCAATGGGTTCTTGCGTCATTGACAGCTCGCTGTACATCAGGTTTCATTGCATCCTATCAAAAATAGAAAACCACGAAGGATGGTTTTAACAATTTGCGATTTTGCAAAAGTACATTAACCACCTTATTAAATATTTACCCCGACTATAAGATTTAGTAGGTGCGCAAAACAGCCCGCAGATCCTACATGCATGGGAGGTAGAGTGGGAAAACGATCTTCATCGTCATCATCATCGGATTCCTCAATTTCCTCACGAACATCGTCTGACGCTTCAAGACGCACATCGCTGTCCAGGGCAAGTGTAACGTTGGCAGCGTTATCTGAAACTCCAATGTGGAATTTCCCTTCTGCACCTATCCAGTTGTTTCGCACCACCTGCAACTAAATGTCAAATTAATTACAGATTTAGAGTATTGCTATTAGCAAATAAACAAAGTTCACTGAAAATGGGTTTCACTTACCGACTTTCTTATGTTGTAGGATGCGCACTAGTTAAAAATTCTTCGACTACCAAAAGAGCATTTTTAACTTCGTAGGCTGTTGAGTCCAAGTTTTCCACCACCCAGTGAGCCGTCACCGTCATATACTCACGGTTTTGACCTCCGCATTTCCACATGTCCGTGGTGAAGTTGATCCCGCTTTTGGACGACTGGATTGACTTCTTGATTTTCGCTTCCAAATCGGTATAAATTTCTGGGACGACTACGTTCGTCAGCTCCTTTCTTGAAACGACAGAATATCGCGGCTCCAGTACTCGCATAAGCTCGCGAAACCCTTCATTCTCTACAACCGAATATGGTCGTAGATCAATCGCTACCATCTTGCCAATAGCATTGGTGATCGCTTTAGCTTTAACGCTTCCTTTTTGTAACGGTGTGTTGCGAGAGAACGTTTCCTGGATACTCAGCTGTGTTGTCGAGCTAGTCGAGGAAGACTCAGATGGGCTACAAAGTTTTAGATGCGCCCATAAAGATCCATTTCCCCACGACTTTGATTTTGCAGTAGAACTTCCGCGACTGACAACTTTCCGACACTTTCTACAAGTAGGCTTTGAAGCATCGATTTTATTTTTTATAAAGCTATCCCAGATGCTTGACGGCGAATTACTGATGCGTTTTCTCTTCTCAGCAGTCGCCATATATTTGTCTTCTTCTCGCGGAGCTTTCGTTTTATTACGCCAAACACGGCAAAGAAACCAGACGAAATCAGACACGATTCTTTGTGAACAATTCTATTTAGCTACATTTAAAGGTTTCCCATTGGCCCCGTTTAGACTATACTGCGGATTCAGGTTGAGTGTTTAATTTGAATATTTATCGCGTTCATTTCAACACGTTGCATAATGACGTTTCTAGGCAGGTTGATTGACGTTGCTACAGTGTCGTTTGTACAATAACAACCTAATTATCACCATAATTAATCACCATAATAACGTACTGCTTACGCGCATCTTTTAGAACTTGACAACAGTTCTCATATTTGTAGTTTATAGGATGCATGTTTATGTTGTAAACAATCATTGATAATTGTAAGCACTGTTCTCCCGTTAATACCAGCAGCATTGCTGATGGGATTTTAACAGTTTAAATAAAGTATTATTATTATTATTATAATTAGGTTGTTATTGTACAAACGACACTGTAGCAACGTCAATCAACCTGCCTAGAAACGTCATTATGCAACGTGTTGAAATGAACGCGATTAATATTCAAATAATAAGTTTTAAGGAAAATAATTTTATTATAGGTACAAGTATATATGTTCAAAAAGGAAATTTATCGTCCTATATATATATATATATATATATATATATATATATATATATATATATATATATATATATATATATATATATATATATATATATATATAATTGTTGTCTTTTTTACTTAAAATTAATTAAGTCGCAACTCTGAGTTTCACGTTTTCACGATCTTCAGGCGACGATGTATGTTCAACTAACTTTTCCTGCTTGGTGACGTTGATATCCGTTGTGCTGCTTGCGTGACTGAGTTTGCGTGCGTGATTGAGCTTGCGCGCGTTCAAACTTTTCGGCCAAGAATCGTTTTTGGTGAACGCACTTCGAGAACAACTCGCGTCTTCTATTTAGCAAGTTTGACTTATCCGCTTTTAGAATGCAAAGTTTCTCTTGGAGGCAAAGGTTACATCTCTTTCCACCGCTGGAATACGAGGCTGCTCGTTTTAGGATAGACCAATTAATCGTGAAGTTCTGCTGCTTTTCCTTTAAGTTCCACACGTATTTTGAGAGCTCCGTATTGTTCCTGTATATAACATTATTGAAAGATTTATTGTGGTTATATAACCGTGTCTTAAAGGTGTTTCCCGTCATGCCAATGTATTCTTTAGGTTCCGAATTGTTGGTTACCACCTCTGCTTTATAAACTAGGCAGTCTAATAGGCATTTCTTTTGAAGAGGACATTCGTTGCTATTATTACAATTGCATGTGGCGCTGTATGTTGATGATGATGTTTGGGTTGTCGATTTCGGTTTTGATAGTATTCTGGTGTTATGCTTAGAAATTATACTCTTGCAATTATCCATGCAGCTGTAACTGACTTTCACCGAGTTGCGATTAAATATCTTATGAAGGCAATTGGAGGGTGGGAAATGTTTGTCAATTAGATTGAGGAAGATCTTGCCCACGTTTGAGGAAGATCTTGCCCACGTTTCAACCTAATAATGACCCCCTTTTCATCAACAGTCATTCGAATCATCCACCATCAATCATAAAACAAATCCCGCTATCAGTGAACAAACGTATTTCGCAATTATCATCCGACCAAAATGCCTTTTCAGCCGCTGCACCCATGTATGAAAGCGCATTGAACCACAGCAACTATCATGCGAACTTGCATTATACCTCAAGCAACAACGGTAGTGGTAATAAACGAAGACAACGAAACATAATTTGGTTCAATCCACCGTTCAGCAAGAACGTAAGAACAAACGTGGGCAAGATCTTCCCCAATCTAATTGACAAACATTTCCCACCCTCCAATTGCCTTCATAAGATATTTAATCGCAACTCGGTGAAAGTCAGTTACAGCTGCATGGATAATTGCAAGAGTATAATTTCTAAGCATAACACCAGAATACTATCAAGACCGAAATCGACAACCCAAACAGCATCATCAACATACAGCGCCACATGCAATTGTAATAATAGCAACGAATGTCCTCTTCAAAAGAAATGCCTATTAGACTGCATAGTTTATAAAGCAGAGGTGGTAACCAACAATTCGGAACCTAAAGAATACATTGGCATGACGGGAAACACCTTTAAGACACGGTTATATAACCACAATAAATCTTTCAATAATGTTATATACAGGAACAATACGGAGCTCTCAAAATACGTGTGGAACTTAAAGGAAAAGCAGCAGGACTTCATGATTAATTGGTCTATCCTAAAACGAGCAGCCTCGTATTCCAGCGGTGGAAAGAGATGTAACCTTTGCCTCCAAGAGAAACTTTGCATTCTAAAAGCGGATAAGTCAAACTTGCTAAATAGAAGACGCGAGTTGTTCTCGAAGTGCGTTCACCAAAAACGATTCTTGGCTGAAAAGTTTGAACGTGCGCAAGCTCAATCACGCACGCAAACTCAGTCACGCAAGCAGCACAACGGATATCAACGTCACCAAGCAGGAAAAGTTAGTTGAACATACATCGTCGCCTGAAGATCGTGAAAACGTGAAACTCAGAGTTGCGACTTAATTAATTTTAAGTAGAAAAGACAACAATTATATATATATATATATATATATATATATATATATATATATATATATATATATATATATATATATATATATATATATATATATATATATATATATATATATATATATATATATATATATATATATATATATATATATATATATACACTGAAGACTATATTCAAAAAAATAGTCGATGAGTTGACGTAAGGTAGAAGAGCGCTCAATACCATAATAAGTAGAGCGGAATTAATTCAGTCAAGGTTTGAATGTTTGCGTCGCTACTCTGAGTTTCACGCTTTACGCGATCATCAGGCAACTGACAGATATTATTCAATATTCATAATAAATATAGGTTATCATTTTACAACTTGATTAAGCAGGTATCTGATTACATGTCTACATACAATAAAGTGGTCCATTATGAAGAAAGTCAAAGCATACAAACCAGGATCTAAACGGTGCAATTTATGCCTCGAGGAGAAACTACTTATTATGAAAGCGAAGAAAACTGAATGCCTGAACAAACGCTCTGACTTGTTTTCCAAATGTAGACATGTAACCAGATACCTGCTTAATCAAGTTGTAAAATGATAACCTATATTTATTATGAATATTGAATAATATCTGTCAGTTGCCTGATGATCGCGTAAAGCGTGAAACTCAGAGTAGCGACTAGCGACGCAAACATTCAAACCTTGACAGAATTAATTCCGCTCTACTTATTATGGTATTGAGCGCTCTTCTACCTTACGTCAACTCATCGACTATTTTTTTTTGAATATAGTCTTCAGTATATATATATATATATATATATATATATATATATATATATATATATATATATATATATATATATATATATATATATATATATATATATATATATATAATAACTACAGTGAAACACGCAATTTGATTGGTCAATAGCCGTGCAGGATCAGGCTATCCTGCACGAGGAACTGAAAATGACTTCGCGGGATTTTCGCGGGATTCACAAAATGTCATTGTTTCACTGTAGTTATTTTATAAAACAATTACCAAATGGTTTTCCAAGCAGGATAGCGTGATCCATGCACTTGGGATGTTGCTCGACTTTCGGAAAGCGTAAAAATACACTCGCCTGCGGCTCGAGTATTTTTACGCTTTCCGAAAGTCTCGCGACATCCCTCGTGCATGGTCACGCAATCCTGCACGGAAAACCATTCGGTGTTCCTTTAATCCTTTCGTCTTTCCAAGACCTAACTTGCATGGTTATATAATCTTATATAAAGATTTCCTTGCAAGTTTAACATGATGTGTTGCCTGGAGAATGATGGGCAGCCAAGAATTTGGTACGAACAATTCCTATGTCTTTCAATATTTCATCAGTTTAATAGTTTAATTCAGCCGGTGACGCTTATATGTTTCACATACTTAAGTTAAAACAATATTAATATCTGTTAACTTCTCTCTACTTTTTCACGTTCATTATTGGCTTTCTTTAGAGATTTTGTCACAGCTTTACTCACGGCAAAACTTCGAAAACATGTCTTTCAAAAATTGTCACTAAAAAGCGTAGCCAAGAACAGATATTTTTCATTCACTGGCGAAGAAGTACATTTTTGGCAGTCTCTGTCCAGAGTTTTTGTGGTTAAACTTGCTGTTTGATTCCTTTCGTGTAAAGTTTAATCCAGCACTAACTTTGGAATCGGTGACAGAGTGGTGAAAACCAGAAAGAGCCTGGATCCCACCAAAAGTATGGCGTAGCATTTGCGTCAGGAATCGCCGCCTTTTCGGAATAACTCTGACGTCTCATCTGGTTTGCGCAATTCGTGATGACGAGCATCAAAGAGACCGACACTAAGTGTGACATCTGGGTAATATTAAATCTGCGCTCTGGTACGAGATTGCGCAATGTCGAATTTCTATCAATGCTTGCTCTTTAATTTTTAAATACCAAATTTTAGATTCAGCTGATCTTACATTATATAAGAAAAAACATACTCCGAATAATAATGCATCTTGTAAACTCAAGAGACAAGATACGAGTTAAAGATCTGAGCACGCTTGTAAATAATAACTCATATCTTGACTTGGTAAATAATAACTCATATCTTGACTTGACATTCTTATATATTTGTTAAAATTGTCTGCTGGTATAAAGGATATTACATTATATTTATATACATGCCAGACTTATTTTGATCTTTCAATATTTATCAATTAATTCTGCTACCAATAAATTCTGCAATCAATTCGTTCAGGTATACGTAATTACTATTAAGTTGGAATCTATTTGAATGATAGCTTTGGAGTGCAGGTATACGTAGAGTGCTTCAGTGTGCTAGAATCTTAGTTACGTGAATTATCACCATGGCCATAGTCTATACAATTTTGCTAATTCCTTGTTCAAAC